CGCTGGTAGGTCAGCGCCCGTTTGGCAGGGGACAGGACAGGCTTCAGGTCAGCGGCACTGCGGCGGGCCAGGCCGCGACCTCGCACCGGCCGCCGGGTCACCTCGGCACGGTTAAACCGCATCGTGACGCCCTTGTCTTCCTCAGTCCTCAGTTAGTCCTCACAGCCAGTTCTCACAGCTATCTGCACTGGAACACTTTACGGCCTTGTAACAAGGTCACTCCATCCGCGGTATTTACAACGGACAACGTCCTCGCCCGAGGGGACACGGCAGCCACCACTCGCCAGGCTCACCGAAAGTCACCAGAAGCCGTCAATCTCCTCTCCGTCACAGATGAACACTCCACGGAGCCACCACACCACCACTGCCGGTCAGTCCGTCCGCCCCGCTCGCGGTTTGTGCTCCTCTCCTGCACGTGCGTCGATAGGTGCGGCGTCGGTCCGTCGCGCCGCCCCCGGGATAGCGCCGGAAGTGGCGGTCGTTAGGCCACTGGTCGATCGATGCTCCCTGTCCCCCGCGCGGTGCCGATAGGGCCCGTTACAGCGTAATGTCCACACCGGGCGGGGAGTGACTGTTTGCCAACGGCCGTTGCAGGTTTGCCGAGCGGCGCCGGCGGGTCGGAGGTGTCTGAGGACTGGAGACCTCTGCTCCGGCACGTGTCGCCCGTCCAACTGACGGCCAAACCGGTGGCGTATGGCTTCCCAGGGCGCATTCATCTCCCCCAATGAAGAGAGCCAACACGCTCGCCGGCGCCTCTCGGCCGCTTTGTCCCTCTCCTCTCCGCGCAGCTGGCGGCGCAGAGGGGGACGCGTGTCGTCGGCCGCCGCCCATTCGCTGACGGATGGCGCTCGCGCCTGGGAGCCGGCGCGGCGACTCTCCCAGACGCTAATCAGGGCCGCCGCTCCGGAGAACAGCCTCGTCCAGAGATGTGCTCCCGATCCCTCAACCGTGAGACGGCTGTATACCGGCGGCCGTTGGCTCGCGGTTGTAAAACTGACGTGATTTCGGGCCCGATCGCGCGCGCGGCGCGGCGGTGCGTCCGGACGGTTGGCGCAGCTGGTCCGGCTCGAAATGAGCAGCTGGCCGTTGTCATGGAGACGGTGTGGCCGCCCGCGTGGATGAGTCGGAGATGAAGGGGCTCAGTGACGGATCAGCGCCGGTTCGTGGCGACACTGATTGCTGTGAGCGGGCGCGGTTAGTTCCACAGCGTGTGACCGAGCCCGGCTAATGGAGAGGGAACGCTAACGGCGGCATTAGAGGACGAAACTCGACACGGCGATAGTTACAGACGAGACCAGAAGGCAAAAACCTGAAAACTGTCAGTATTCTAGGGATGGCTGACGGGAGAAACGCCCTAAGAAAAACAACCGGCCAAAATATTGAAACGAGTCTGTAGTGTCAACTATCAGGCCTGTGACAACTATCAGGCCTGTGACTGCAAGGAAATTGCGTTGCTATGGCATTTTCACTCCCCAGACAATAAGTTAGCTAAGTGTGAGATAATTGCCTTTTCGTTTCATAGCCTCGAGGTCTCACCTCGAGTCGAGGTCGTGCATTCTCTTGATGAACAACTCACTGCCTCTTGCTCTGTTTATATTTGTATTTTGTTTAGATTTTTTTTTTATAACTGTAGGCACCTAATTGTGCCTAAGCTCACATCATTTCTGCTCTAAAATTGCAGCCTCGTTTTATTGACGCTTCTACGCCCACTGCCAGTCCGATATGTTTCCAAAGTATCTCACAACGGTCAGTGGTCACTGAAGCCAGCAGCTGAACAAACACCCTGCACCCTCCTCAATTTTCGACCCCTGACCACGCCGCCCCTCCCCTCCCCCACAGGCCACTTCCCAGCGGGCGATAGCCCCCCTCCCCTCTGAGACGCTGACTCTGCCAATCACAGGCACCCCGGTACCATCTGCGGCGCGCGCCGCTTACGCCCGGCCTGCGCCGATTTAAACCTCTGCGCCGCAGCAGCTGGCGGCGCCGCATTCCTGAGCGCGCGGCGGACACAAACGCGGCGCGCCGGGTGCGATAGTGCCGCACCTGGCGCGTGCCGCCGCGAGGTGAGTCTGTAACCGTCACCGGCCGGCCTCGGCTGGGACCGGCGCGCTGCCCGCCGGCCGCAGCTCCATTCAGCTTTCAAACGGCCGCCGCCGACAAACTGCGGTGTGGCGGCTCCGCCCAGCCGATCGGGCGTGTGTCGATCGAGGCCCGAGAGAGCTGCACCGACGCAGAACTGAACCGGAACTACGGGAGGGCAATGTGAATCTGGACGGGCGCCAAAGCATTTGAGGCAGTGACAGTCAAAGTTGAGCACAGTGACATTCAAACACATGAATCAGGAACTCTCTAGCCAAATACACCGCACCGTTCAACTATTTATAGGTATAGACGCTAGTGACCGATCCCTGCGTCTCAGATCTGCCTATAACGGTCCGGAGCTGTCGACCCCGGTCAGCGCTCCCCCCCCCCCCCAGCCAGTGACCGGCGCGCTCCCAGAACCGTGGGAACACACACCGGATCGGTCGCTAATGACGATTGTTTCTGTAATGAGCCGCGACTACTGACAATCTACACGACTGGCTCGTAATGACAGTCGAAGAGCGGATTACGGTCAAAACCCAGTCGCTCGTGTCCAAATGATGCGCTTCCACATGAAGTATCACATTCTTGACACAAGCAAATGAGCGCTATCTATGCAAATGATTAGATATATTGAGGTAATCTTACTCCGGGAGAATTCGTTCATGACATTCAAAACGGCATGCTCGGCTGAATGCCATGGACTGTTGACATACCACTGTCTAAACATTGCTCGGGCCGATCGATAACAGACACCCATTCCGTCGCTGGGAGCGGTGGCGCGCTCCTGTAATCCGGCTACTCGGAGGCGTGGTTCCGTGGATCTCTTGAGGGCGGGAGTCCTCTCCAGCGGCGGTCTGTGTCGATCGGGTGTCCGCACTAAGCCCGGCATCAATATGGGGCCCCCGGAGGAGTCCGGGGTCGCCAGGTTGACTAAGGAGGTGCGTACCGGGCCAGGCGGGTGACCGAGCAGCCAAAAGTACCCGTGTCGGGCAGTAGTGGGATCGCGCCTGAGAACAGCCGCCGCTGGGGAGCCCGTCCAATACAGGGAGACCGGATCCTTTTCGTTCGGAAAGCGTTGCTGAAAGAGGTTAACGATGACAGAATGGTTGAACTTTGACCGTCCTTGAATTTACTGGATTTATGCTGGGCACTAAAACTATTTTGTTATGCGTCTGAACATAAAATACTCGTGTAAACGCTGATTTGGCAGAAAACGACCTGATAAAACATGACGTGTCTTGCGGCCCATAATATAAGTTTCACGCCATCTCCGTTTTAAATATTTCCTGTCTGATATCCCTAACAGATATATGGTATAAAATCGTCATGTGTTCCGCTCCCGCCCCTTCCGCACATGTCACGCTTATCGCTCCCTCCTTCGCCATTGTTGATGCCCGTCCTCCGCCCTCCCCGTCCCGTCCCTCCTCGTCAGCTATGATGACGTGTCTCTATAACGGCAGTCGCTCGGAGATGACGGTGGACTAGTGACGTAACACAATGACGTAACATCATCCGTGCATGACGTCACCGTTCGGGAATATCCCCGATTCCCGTGTCGTTGTGAAGTGACCTCCCTTGACGATGGCTTACTAATGAGACGTGGCATTGCGGCAGAGAACTGGAACGGAAGTATATGCGCCACTGTGTCCGGCGTCGTCAGAAAGACCACGTGACACGCTGGCCACTACAGTCAGTGATTTCAGAACACCTGTGCACTAGTGATGTCACTCCTGCTAGTGCATAATGTGGTGCAATGTCTTCCTTGTTATCTGTTCGTACGTTGACACTGCGGTGACATCAGCTCTCGCGGGCGGCCGGGATATCGGGTCACGGGCCAGAAGCGCCGGTGTGTGCATATTAGATTCACTCAGGCAGGATTGCATCCGCAGAATGCAGGTGCTAGCATTTGGAGGTAAAATCGCTGCGTAATAGGAAATGCTGATAAACATCTATTGACGGCATGTGTCGGTTTTGGCAAAGACGTCAATGCTGACATATAGCGAGACGCTGTCCGCTCTTTCACACGTTTTACGTTTTTTTCATCAACGTTTCTGTTTCGGCACCGTTTTAGTTTTATTAGATTGAGATCTAATCTTTGTATCTATTTCTCTGTCTCATCTGTTTTTCAAAACTGATCTCAAAACAACATTCTTAGTTGGCCAGTTTCTATTTGTGTCTTATTTGCATGTAGTGTACTAAATGAACCACACCAGAAAAAGTTCAAATTAGATACAAAAGAACCACATCTTACTCCAACTGCAATGGAACATAATGCGTTACCAGCACGCATGATGCACACAACTGCAATAAGACACTTGCATCCTGTACATAGGGGATCGTGAACAGTTGTCTGAAATACATTACGTACCAATCGATCAAATGGATTCAATATAAATACAATTGATAAATAAATAATATATGTGCAATCAACTGGCACTCCACAACATCCATAGTCGAGGTCATATAAAGCACAGACTAGACGTCTCGCTTTATGCGTGCGTATCGTCAGCATCCTTATCCTGAGTTCGGTTGACCGGCGCCGGTTACAACAGACGGCTGTCTTCTATCATTCACCTCACACGCTGGTCACGAGACGTTTGGACAGCGGCGCTGCTTCGTGGGGGTATAGCCTGCGGCGCGCGTACCCGCACTCCGGTATCGGCAGAGCGGCGCGGCGAACCGACGGCAATCTCCTTCAGCGCTCGGGATGGTGTCTCACGGAGTCGCCAGCTTCCGCGCGCCCGTCTCGCACTGCCTCACTTTACACAGCACTGGGTGGGTGGTCTCCGCGGCTGCTCGCCACCGCACCGGCTCCAGCAGCTGGCACGCCACATCACGGCGAGACACGGACCGCTCCGCTCCCCACAGCAGCGCCCTGGTGGCGGTCAGCTGTTGACGCACAGCTCGGCAAGTCACTACTCGGCCATCAGGGCGTTGTAGCTGCTGGCGCCGCCGACGTCCGGCAGCGAGTGGGTCAGGTAGGTGATGCGGCCCTCGCTGGTGTAGCGGGCGCGCGGGGTGACCAGTGGCACCTGCAGCGCGCCACTGGGGTGCGGCGGCGGCGTGTCATCCGAACTGGCCGGGGAGCGGCGGCGCGCGCCCGCCGGCCGCCGCCGGCGCGGCTTCTCGCTGCGCCCGCGCCGCTGGTTCTCGCCAAACAGGCAGATGTAGCCGGAGGCGAGGCCAGCCATGAGCGCGTGCAGCGTCACCACCACGCAGGAGGCGCGCGGGAAGCCGATCGTGTCCACCAGGATGCCGGCGCCGCAGCGCGAGATGAAGCGTCCGGCGCCGCTCAGGGAGCTCCACATGCCGGCGACCACGCCGTGCGTGGTCGGGTCGTCGGCCATGCCGTTGCCGGTGGCCTCCCGCAGGGCGTCCACCATGCCGGACACCTGCATGCCGCCGATGGCCACGCCGTACAGGGAGAGAGCCGTGATGAGCAGTCCGAGCGTCTGGTGGATCGGCACGCCCGGCAGCGGGCCGAACACGGCGAAACACACGGCCGCCGTCAGAGAGGTCACCACCACGTAGGCCTTGACGCAGCGGAACTTGTCGCACAGCAGGCCCCAGATCGGCGAGGTGATGCTGCTCGCGCCGTCCTTCAGGCCGAACATCATCCCCAGCGAGATGTGCGAGAGCTCGTATTTGCGCAGGATCTGGGCCTCCAGAGTGATGGACAGGAAGCCGGTGCTGAGTGTGGAGACCAGGAACGAAACGAACGCCACCCAGATGCCGGGGATGCGCAGCATCTGCCGCAGCGGCTGCGGGTCCTGACCGCGCTCCGTCTCCGGAGACAGCCGCCGTCTGACCGGCGTCTCGGGGCTCCCCTTCTTCGGAGTGACCGCTTCCGGCCTGTCGGGCAGCACACAGACCAGCGGCATCAGTGTCACCAGGTGCAGCACACCGAACACGACGAACGGCATGTAGAAGCCGCCCAGCTCGTAGAAGATGCCGCCGAGGCCCGGCCCGAACATCTGCGCCACGCTCATCACGGTCCGGTTCATGGCGAATATGATGCCGGTGCTGCGCGGGAACTGCAGGTTCGTGTAGGTGAAGGTCGTGATGATGATGCCGGCGTTGCCGATCGACTGCACGGTGCGGATCGCCACCGCCGCGTACACGAAGGACATGCTGGCCGGGAACATCTCGAGCATGCCGCAGAGTATGCAGGACACGCCGCTGGCGCAGACGCCGCTCACCAGGCTGAAGCCGACGCCGATCGTCTCGATGTGGCGGCCGAGGAACGGGGTGACGACGAACGAGACCAGGCAGTTGGTGCCGATGATGGCGCCGTACACAGACGCGCTGAAGCCCTTGCTCTCGGCCACCTTCGGGAAGAACGGTGGAAAGATGCACAGCGACAGAGATGACGTCATCGTAATGGAGGCCAGCGTTCCCAGAAACATCAGTTGGCGGCAGTTGAACTTGGAGCGCTTCTTGTGAGCGGCCAGGCCCTGGTCGCTCTCCGGTTTGTGCGAGAGGTCCTCGCTGGAGTTGGCTGACTCGGAGTCGGCAGGACACTCTGAGCCGACCGTGTCGTCACACGATCCATAGTCACTGACCGGCGACCCGCCCGGCCCCAGCAGGCGCTCAGACTCCTCTCTGCGCGTGGTGGCCATGCCTCTGCGTCCGCCGCCACCCCGTTCCTCCAGCTCGCGCACCGGACTGGGCGACCCGGCCGACCGGCCGCCGGCCGGCCGCGCCCCCAGGTCACAGTGTCACGTGACCCCGACGACCAATCAGAGCTCAGCAACCAACGGGCCAGCCGCACGGCGTGGAATCGTACTGGCCACTGACGGGAGTAAACATTCCGATGGCTCACGCCAGTGTTTTGCAAAATCATCAAATGCTGTCTTGGACTCTGGCAAAATCATGAAAATTGTAGAATATTTTTGTGTGTGTGTACTTTTCTAACATGACAGTGCATTTGATATACGGCGCCATACATCTCGGACCCACCGACGAACACGGAAGAACGAAACACGAAAGAGGCTCAGAACGGATGCTGTGCCCCGTTCATTGTACGGCTCTGATCATTTGGGATGAGAGGTTAGCGGTTACCACAGATGCAGGAAGTTCACAGCAGATACGGCCCGGTCACCGCAGATCCCGACCCATAGCGGGAATCTGACCACCCTCCCGGCTGCCGGGCTGCGGTCCGGAGCTCCGGTCGGTGGTGTTGGCGAGCACGCGCGGGCGTTTTGCGGCTCAGCACGCCCGGGCGGTTTGCGGCTCAGTCGGCACGCGCGCGGCTGATGTGCGTGCGCGGCACCCCGACACGCCAGTGGCCGCTATCGGAGCGGCAGGTGCTCGAAGGAGCCGCGGATTAGCGCCGTTATCCGGCGAGGGGTGGTGGAAACCAACAGTTGCACGTGATGTCAAACGGTGGCCCGGCGCCGCGGACACGATCAGTAGCTGTTTTAGTTTAGGCATTATGTATTTGCGTCCTATTTGAAGTGGATTTAGCCAAGATTTACCTATGTGTGATTGTCATGGAAGCGACGGATTTACCGATTACGAACGGATTTGACTGCACACAGGCAAGGACATATGCCTGGTCCACGAACATAATGGTCAACACTAAACGCGTCGAGGCTTTGGCTTAGAATGCGCCAGTTATAACGGTTATCGCAGAAATATAGGTATAAAAAACTGCCGGCTTTCATATAGGTACGTCAATGATATATTTTTTCCGCAATATATAGCCATGCATATTTTCAAGAAAGCAAGGCACTATCGTGGAACAGGCTGCGATTGCCTTTATGGTAACCGAACATAAATCAATCGAGCCACATCGCCGTACCTACATTCTCAGAGCTGTTCTGTTTTCTGCGTCATATCCTATGGACCATTCGGGGTGACAAATGAACGGTTTCCCCGAAAGTCATCTCTTATAAATGCTGCCACTCAGGCCGCATGTCCAATATTGTGGACAGGCTATCAGCAGTCAGGACCTGATCTCAATCTTCCAGAGTGAATCGGAAGACCTGACGTCAGACTACCGATCCTACTGCCTCAAAGGAACTGGCATCGTTAGTTTTTATGATAGAGCTAGACAGCTGGCTTGCTTTATCGATTTTCGCTGAGCATACCTATCGCTGGATGGTGATTTCAGAAGTTTGAAGTATGCGAATATCTCAGCCATGACTTCATGGAAACGCACTACGCATATGACAGGCACGCTAAAAGCTTATCGGGACACTGCAACTTTAATGGCAATCTATCGAGGGACATTGTCGCCCCCCCCCCCTACCAAACGCCAGTTTAGGTAAACGATTCTGCTCTTGTTCAACGTATATTTATAAATTACTGCTACAAAAAAATCAACAATAACAATACACCTGACAACGAGTTATAAATAAAAGTTAACATCCACATGCACAATAAAATTCACAAATCAATGCCGAACAGCTATTCGCGTTTCATGCGGGACTATTGCTAATGGCTGATTTCTTATGCAGCTCAGGGCAGCCACCTGCCTCCGTCAGAAGAAGTCGGTAGTGGGGCTGCTCGGCCTGCTGTGCCCGTCCGTGGGCCTCGTCCCGCCACCTGCCGCCGCCGGTGTGAGGAACACCGGACTCCAGCGGCCGCCGGCCTGCTCCGCCGCAGATGGCGCCACCAGGAGCTCCGATACAGAGGGCGCCACCAGGTGTTCCGATACAGAGGGCGCCACCAGGTGTTCCGATACAGAGGGCGCCACCAGCTGGTACGGCGGAGGAGGCTCCCGGTACACTGCCGACCATGAGGGGTGGCGAGGGGCGATGTCAAACAAAACAACGTAGTGCAGTCACGGAAACTGCTTGGCCACTCAAAACAATTTCAATTTCTACAAACAACCAAAAATCGCACAGCCCCTGGCAAGGGCCGTACCGGGACGGCTGGGATCACTTCTGCGCCTGCCATCTATCGGGCAGTGTTTGGAACTACAGCGGGCGCTGGCCGGCCGGGCCGCGCGGCGCCGTTACCGGGCTATGGAGGCGAATGAAGCGGTGTAAAACCAGACGAATTTTACGCTTGCAAAGCAAAAAACGAAAAATGTACACTCACCACAGTGTTCAGCAAAGTACTGGGAACAATATGGACATAATTTAAAGCCAGTACGATGCGAACTGTTGGTTCCCTAGGGCAGTATTTACATACTTGTAGGAGATAGAACTTTAGCATTACGGGACCTTCTAAACTGCGCTTGCAAAGTACTTGATTGTAAATATTTTCATTTAGAGGCAAAAAACTAAAAATGTACAGTCAGAGCGTTGTTTCCAATGCTTCTAGGTACACAATGAGCATAAATTTAGCTCGAAATGTCATCACACATTGGTTCCCAGTCCAGTTTAAAACGACACTTTGTGCCGCAGAGCCTATCTCTTCCAATGGAGGGCGGCTGGGTGGCGGTTATAGTGGTGGACAAGACAATTCTTGAGTGAAATGAAATCATTTGCTTTCAAAGAAGATCTTTGAAGAACTTGTAATAATTGACAAATGATCGTTAATTACAGTGTATAATTTCAAGTTCATGGCAAATGAAAATATTTTAAACAATGCTAGTGAACTCCAGTACCGCCACGCGAGAAAGCAAGTACTCGACGCACGGTCTGCCCGCCACTTCTGAAAATGGTCCGCGGCCGGCCGGCCGCGACCCGACACGCTCATACAAAATTTATATCCGTCCGAATCATTTATGGACCGAATTACATCTATATTACTATTTGAGGAGGGTGCGTCTGTCCGTTACCGAGGTCCCGACTTGGTGGTGCTTTGCGTGGACTACAGGCCAGACCATTGCACCTAGCGCGCTGAAATTTGCACAACTTATAGATCAAGGATGCGCGACGTGCCTTTGAGGGGCCTGGGCTCGATCGGGTCGTTAGTGAGCGCGTGGCGCCTGCCCAAAAAGTGCAAATTCGCGTCATAGACTTTACATGTATAAATCGGCGTGCGAAATCGGGCAAAAACGACTAATTTTGGCCGACACGGGTCCAGTCCCCGTGCAATTTCTTGGTGACCAGGGATCCGACCGGCACGGGGAAAACAGCATCGTGTACAGAATTGAACGGGCTATTGAATGGTGTGCAATGCAGAGGATAGCACGCGCCACGTGCACCGGAGAGGGCACTTTTATTTGAAAAATTGCGGTTTTTGAGGGATTTTGGAATTAATTTTATTTTTAGGTGACCGTTAAACGGAGCGAGTTGGAACAACGCCTGTTGGCAAGAGAAATGTACGGCCTCTCATGGGAAAATTGTGAATAGATAATTGATCGACGACAAGGTGGTATAAATCGCTGGAGAAGGTGGTTTTTGTCGATGATGTGCCGCTTTCTTAGTTACACGGGTTTTGCTGCATAACCTGATATGTTTCGCAATTGAAACTGGTACTGTTTGAAAGAGCATTAAATTTTGTCCAAGATACACCCAAAATTTTTGCATGACAAGCAACAATATTCTAAAAAATGCAAATATTGCAAACCACTACATAGTCATTTTTACCGAAATTCATCGATGGTCCTCAAAAGACTTCACGCCAGTTTCCGAATCATTCTTAAGTAGAACGCATGATAATACGACACGGGCACCTCGATGCGATGTATCCTTTTTGTTTTATTACAAAATGCTTGGCCGTCGAAAAGCAATAGAACGAAATGGATGCCAACCAAATCGACACAGACCAACCCAATACCCACGGGTCAAAAATCTCTACACCATTTTCGATGCATTTTAAGACAAATGAAGTCCAATTTAAAACAGTTGATTTCTGAATTAAAACAATTGACAGGCGGGTTAAAACACGTGACATTCAGCTTAAAACAACTGACACGCGATTTAAAATAAATGAAAAGCAAATTAATATAAATGACATGCAATTTAATCATACAAATAAAGGTACGTAAAGCTATGCTGAATAATGATGTTTTACTGCAAATGAAAACAAATGTTGTGTTCGACTACATGATTATTTGTAGGGAGAAAATTGAAAGACGCCTCTTTTGGACGAAAGTCATTCTTAACACTTTCAAACACCGAATTAGGTACAGGTAACATTAACAGTTGACCCAATGAACATAAAAATACATAGCACCCGTGACCCCTGTTTATGCCCATGAGGTCATGTCAGGTCACGAAGGGTATCTAGCAGGTTTTAGCAAATAACTTCGGATAGAGGCATGTTAGAGTCATGAAAACGCCTTAGATTTGTAAGCTCCACGATACGAATCAGCTGATACGCAACATGACCCTTTCCGGTCAGGTCAAGACCTTGGCCTGAGGTCAATTTTTCAATTTGACCTTTCAAGGTCAAATTATAGTTCATTCGATGCGTCTTGACGAGAGGAACACGATGCAGGTATAAAAGTTTAGCTCGTGCAAAACTTGAGTCAATAGTAAGTGCAAAAAAAACTCCGCAAAAATCGTCCATTTTGGCAGTTTTTGCCACCTGCAGCCTAGAACGTTGACGTTAGATCAAATGTGGGAGAAATATTCAGAGAGAGCGTTAAGTGGGCTATCAAATGCGCTTTTCCTCGGTGCTGTAGCTCTCTTGGTTCCCGAGTTATGCTTCTAAAAATTGTTGACATTTGACCTGAAAATCTGCAACATTTGGCCTTCAAGGACCTCTGGTGACCTGACTGACCTTTGACTTGGGCAAAAAAGTGACTGAAGTAGTTCTGTCATTTTGTTTTGTCGCTCTCTCGCACACTGCCTTCCGCGTATCGCTACGTGGCCCAGGAGCCGAGTTGGAAGGGGAAGGGTGTTCAAACACCCCCCTCCCCAGCAGGGTGTGGAAATCCAGGATCCCCAGCGGGACGCGGGTTAAGACGGAGAAGGACCGTGTAGTGTAGGATTCAATGTCATCGTATGGAAGCTCTAACGCCAGTCAGTCATTTTGAATTTTTAACCCATTGAAGCATATGTTAAAGTTCTACGAACTGTCACAATTGCAAATATGTAGTCGAACACATTGTTTATTTTATTTGCACTAAAACGTAATTATTCAACATAGCTTCGCCCGCACATGCCATTTTCCCATCCTAGAACGCACATGGGGGGGGGGGGTTGCCACCCCCCCGCGCCATTTCGTTCCTGTTGGAGATAGAGCTTAGCGGTAAAGACCAAAAAGATTCTTTGGGAAGAGACGAATCCAATGATACCCAGTTTTACCTTCTCAGGTCAGTCATTGACCTTCCAGGTCAGGTCAAACTAAAAAATGTTGCTGTTTTGGGTCACCGTTGGATATCAAGTGCGCTGCTTATCATATACCGATAACGATGCTGTTTTCTGGTGCCAAGCCAGCTAGAACCTCTTTCTCACACTACCCGACCAGGTTTTTGCTGCTGAGGTCATTTCAGGTCAAGTTAGGTCAAGGTCAATTATATGTGTTTGTATGTCTGTGTGTGTCTGTGTGTATACTGATGTGTGCACCGATTGTTTATGAGTCCATATTACATGAAATCATGATCTGAGAAGCTTTTACCAAAAAATGCAGTCAAAAAACTTCACAAAAAGTAAATTCCGCTTGCCTAAAACGCAATTATCTTAGATGACCTAGGTTGACCTTGACCTTGACCTTGACATCTGTACATCGTCGAACAACATGTTCCATGATGGGTGGGAGGTAAGACTGGTAAAAAAGGCCGAAATCAAGGTGTCAAAAGCTCACAAGGCCCATAGCCAACGCAAGATGTCGAGAATTGGCCATTTGGGTCATGACATGACCTGAAAAACAAGGTCATATCTCCGAAACCAAAGGTCACAGAAACTTGAAATTTTCAGTGGACATCAAGAAAGGATAGAGGAGCAGCTATACGAAAAATCAGCCTTCTAGCTCTAAAAATGTTGAGTGCAGAGCAGAAAGACTACCTGGGGGGGGGGGTGGCAACCGCCCCCCCCCCCCCATGTGCGGGCGAGGGTTAAGTAACTATAATTGTATGATTAAATTGTATGTCATTTATATTAATTTGCTTGTCATTTATTTTAAATAGCATGTCATTTGTTTTAAGCTGAATGTCACGTGTTTTAACCCGCCTGTCAATTGTTTTAATTCAGAAATCAACTGTTTTAAATCGGACTTCATTTGTCTTAAAATGCATCGAAAATGGTGTAGCTTTAGCGGTAGATTTTGTGCAAGGTTGAGCACCTGCCTACAGTTCCGTACCTGGGGTGTGCGGTGACGGCGGGGCGGGCGTCACGGCCGGAGAGCGCTCTCTGAACGGGTTGAGGTCACGTTTCTCGGCCACCGTCTGGCCAACAGCAGCCGAGGACTCCGGAGGAGCCGAGGCGAGGTCGGGCCCCGGCGGGACGAGCGAGAGAGGCCCCGAGCTGGTACCGGCCTGGGGCGCCGCTGCCTGCTGGGCTGGCTGCTGGGTAGGACCAAGAGAGGGCTGCTGGCACGCCTGCTGGTACGTGGGTTTCTCTGGCTGCTTCGGCTGCTGGTATGCCGCCGGCTGAGGCTGCTGGCTGGGTCCTTGGCTCGGGTCCTGTGGTCCTGGCTGCTGTGGCTGGTTTGGCTGCTGTCCAAGAGCCTGGCCAGGCTGCTGTCCAGGGGGCTGGCTGGGCTGCTGACTAAGCTGCGGATTCGGTAGCTGCTGAGCCGGCTGCTGAGTCGGCTGCTGATATTGGGGGTTCGGTTGCTGGTATGGCTGTTGGCACGGCTGTTGGTAAGGTTGTTGGTACGGCTGCTGATACGGTTGTTGGTAAGGTTGCTGATATGGTTGCTGGTAGGGCTGCTGGTAGCAAGGCTGCATCATGGGCATCATCATCATTTGCTGCTGCTGCTGCTGGTTGCTGCTCTGCTGGTTGTTGGTGGTGCTGGTCGTGTTGCTGGTCACCACGGTGACCCCGGTGTCGGCGGCGTCCCGCTGCATCTCCATCAGCTCCTCAAAGTGGCGGCGCAGCGCGCGCACCAGCAGGTGGGCTGCCACGGCCGCCAGCACGTGCAGCGCGCACATGGCCAGCGTGAGCACGGCGTTCCTCAGCACGGTGGGCACCAGGTCCTTCACCTGCGGCTCACGGCGGACGGCGGTGGCGAGTTACATGGGCTGGCTGAACGGTGTGGAACGGGACCTGAATTGTGGAGAAAAAGTGTGTACGTGTTGCATCCGCATCGTGAATCAATGAAATGTACTCGCAATTGTTCACTCGGCAGAAAACCAGATCATGAGGCAACAATGACATTTGTAAAACGCGACGTTTTACTTACAAGTACAACTGATTTTACGACTGTTTCTACTTTTTTGACGAAAAACGGAAAAGAAAGTTTCAAAAATCACACCAATTACAGGTGCGGTGCGTTCCATGCCTCCCGCTCATCCGCCTCACCTCTTTGAGCTCCTGCAGGGTGCGAATCTTTATTGTGTAGAGACACTGCTGGTTGACGCCGATCTCGTAAGCCCTCTCGGCGAGCGAAATATTCTGCAGGTTCCAGACCTTATCGAACTTTTTCGCCAGCGCGCGCCAGTTCTCGTCGGCGCTGAGGTCGGCAGTGATCTCACCGGTCACCGTGTGAAGCTGCCCTCTGAGCGTGTTGACCCCCTTCACCAGCGAGGTGGCAGCGTCCACTATCCCCCTCCGGCGCAGGCTCGACCGGCCGCTGGCACACAGGGGCTCGAAGCCGCCGTCTTCCTTTTTCCGACCGCCGCCTCGGACCTCATCGTGCATTTCCCAGAACTCTGTGGGTCTCGGCTTGGCGATCCACTCGTTCCTGATGAGGATCTGCAGCGTCTTTCCCTGGATCTCGTCGGACCATTCCCGCCAGGAGTCGGACCAGGAGAAGTAGTGCGGCAGGATGCGCCGCTCGTCCAGGTTACCCATCTCGTCCAGCCAGCCCATTGCCCGGCGGAAGGCGCGCTGCTCCGACTCGCTGACCTCGAGCTTGTAGACGTCGGAGAGGGGCGGCAGCGGCCGGCGCATCACCTCCGAGACGTGGGCGCCCACAGAGGCCAGCTGGTGGTGGGCGCTGAACAACACCATCGAGATACAGAACTCGACCACGGCCGCGGCGCCGGCCAGCAGCACAAACTGCAGACAACGGACACAACAATAACGGACACCCCTTGGACACAACATACAGATCGCGGGTCACGGGTCGCAGGTCACGGGTCACAGGTCACAGGTCACAGGTCACGGATCACGGGTCACGGATCACGGGTCACGGGTCACGGGTCACGGGTCACGGATCACGGGTCACCGCCCAGCAGCAGAATTTAGAGACAACAGACGAAACGGGCACAGAGAAATGTTATGGAATTGTTACAGAAGCTGCATTTAGTGCATAACATCAAATAAACAAGGACCAATTTGTTCTTTATCACGAACAATGTTCGATCGAACGTTTGTACCGTTCCGGTTAAAAGTAGTAATGTATATTTACACAAAAGGTCCATTTGGGTAGAACAGTGGTCGTCGGGTCGTTGGTGACACTAGGCTAAAGTGACAAAAAAAAACTCCTAAAACATCGATTTACGGAAAAATAACTCTCAGCCAAAAAGAACCGATGAACGTTTAGCGGCAGCACCACCGTGGCTTCCGGTCTCTGTGAGGGACCCGAACGCGACCCACCAGGAAGAGCGAGGTGCTGCTCTCGCAGCAGCTGCCGCACAGGCCGATGACGCCGGCGATGACGATGACGATGGAGAGCACGATGACGGCTCTGTAGCCGCGCCGGCTGCTGGTCACCAGGTGGCACTCGCACGGCTCGCGTTCCGAGCTGCACTCCTGGCTGACGATCTCGTGCTCCCAGTTCACCCTGAGAGCGGCGGCGGCGGGGAGGGGGCATGAGAGACGGTGCAACTTGATGAAGTGGCCCGGATGGATAAACTAGACAGACGGACTAGTATGAGTAGAACTAAAGAGCGGCGCCATCGACGATATACGGGAGGACGGTACAGGCGATATCGATAGGATGGTGATTGGTGATAAATGGTATACGAGAGGATGGGACACATATCAGTAGGCGGAACTATGGTCAAGCGTACCCATTTTCGGGAACGCATTTTCGTTCCCATGTTTGGGAACGATAAACCCAAATATGGGAACGCCATGTAGGCATTATTTAAAACAAGAAAAAGAACCGTTAAATGACGTCCAAAAAATATAAAACGATTGTGAACCGCCTGATATTTGTCTCAATATTGTTGGGAAAGAGTTTGATATTGTAAGGCCCATCGTAGTTTCAAATCATTCCCCTATTTCTAAAGCAGTCCATCATCCGGGCCGCGAGCCCAAATTTGGGAACGCTCTCGTACACTGGCGCTGCAAGCGTTCCTTATTATGGGAACGGCGTACCCAAAATTGGGAACGATTTCACCGACGCCTTTCAGGGGCTCTTTTCATTAACAAGCATCACGTCCAACGCCGCAAATTATTGTTAACGCAACAATCATCAGATGACCTTTCCGGCAAGACCGTCGCATGTTTCGCCCGGTCTTCTGCGCTTTTATTCCCGTCGATCTCGCAGCGGGCACGCCCCCCTCTGCAGGATTACGTAATTCACAACGCTCAGCGATGTTCAACAAGGTCTTCCATACCTATATCCACCGTCCGCGCTGAGGGTGGAGACATGTCAGGCACCTGTCTGTTTATCACCGATAGTTGACGAGTACAAGGAAGTATCCAAAAATGGGAACGCTGAATATGTCACACCCTCAAAACACCTAGTCCCAATGAAAATCTAGTTTTTTCCTTTCTTGATGAGTGTAAGTGGCAAAAGGCCTGGTAGGATGGGCACGAGGAATTATCGAAATCAGCATAAAAATTATAAATAAGCCACACAGAGCGAGCTATATAAGAGAAATTCCCCCAAAACGATCACGCTTAGAAACACGGAAGACAAAAACCACGCTCATGACGCTCCTTATAAAACAGCTCTAAACAGCTAGCATCCAAATAAAATATGTCTTTCCAGGATGATAAAATACAGCTGGATAATTTTCAACCGCTTAAACTGAGTTTACAACAGTAGCTCGGTAAATTCACTCACGTTCCACGCGGTCGTCCGCCCCGACACAAAAGTCAACAATATTACCTCGGGACCGTCCGCGTCTTCGCTTGCATTTGTCAGCATCTGGTGTCGATAGTATGAAAGTTCATAACCACGCGAAAATTATTATACTTTACCTCAAACTAAAAAATGCTTCATTTTCCTTAAAATTGCATGTTAAATGTCGTATAACCCATATTTCCACCATTCTGTCATTTTCAAAAAATCATTAAAAATATCATTCCACGGTCAATTTCCTTGTTCCACGGTCAGATTAAAGATAACTTTATGGAGATTTAGTATATACTTAAATCAGCGTGCACTTTTTTGAGACGTGATGCACTTTTGAGTTTTAGTGGGAGAACGGCCGAAAAATTGCCTTCCGTTCTCATAAATGGGAACGCCCGTTCCCATATTTGGGAACTCCGTTCCCAAAAATGGGAACGTTCCTATATTTGGGTACTCATGACCATAGTTCCGCCTACTGATATGTATACGAGAAGACGGGATAGGGATATAAGAGAGGACGCGGGATAGACGATATACGGAAGGCCGGATAGACCGATTTTATATACGAGAGGACGGTGTAGGATAGACTGACATGATATACGATAGGACGAGATGGACAATATACGAGAGGACGAGATGGACAATATACGAGAGGACGAGATGGACAATATACGAGAAGATGGGATAGAACAAGGGATAGACGATATGGGAGGGGATACACGATATGTATTCGAAAGGATGGGATAAACGATATACGTTAAGACGATATCATCGATGTAAGAAATTAGAAAGGACGGGATTTACGGTAACGACTGAACACGGGATAGGCGATATACGGAGAGAAGGGATAGACGGTATACGAGAAGACGGGATAGGTGATATATGGGAAGAAGAGACACACGATATACCTACGAGAGGACACGATAAGCGATGTACGAGAAGACGAGACAAACGATGTAAGAAAGGACGAAATTAACGATATACGAGAAGACGTGATAGACGACGATATTTTGAGGCGATTATAAAACGACAAGGACAGTCACGATGCGAGATTATGGGAACAAACAATACGAGAGGAAGAAAAGGACATTAGAAAATTCGAAATGCTGAAACACACGATAGGTATACGAGAGAACGGTAAAATGTGGTGAGTCATATGATCTGAGCCACTACAAGAAAACTAGCGCAGGATTATTTAAATGTTATTCCCTACGAACTGAATATAGCTAAAACGTTGTGCCGCATGACCGACCGTTTATACGCGACGCTCGGTGAAATGACGAGCAGTTCAGCTAGACAACGATAACAAGGATAAGTCGCACGAGAACTTAGTTACCACTAGAGCCACCCTAACGTTTTTTATTATTACTTTAGTTCCAGCATTGTCCAGTTCTGTTCAGTTCCAGTACCGTACTAACCTGACTAAATCCAGCTGTGTCTCGGCCCGGTTCAGCCGCTGCACCAGGTACTGAGTGGCCTCCGAGGCGTCACTGGAGAACTGCCACCACATCTTCAGGCCGTAGAACATCAGCAGACCCCCGATCACCTGCGAGCCGTAAATATTGAACGCCTAACCGGGCCAAGGTAGGGATCGGAAGAAAGCGATAATAAATGCATGGTTTTGTTGGCAGCCCGGGATGTTCGACAAGCAATATTCACGCTGCGAAACTAAAAGCGACGGTACCTCTTTTACCCAACCTCCGGCCACAAAAACGTCCCGTCACCTCTCACCATGGAGAGCAGGCCGCAGAGGATGATGACCGCCTTCTGCCAGTTGCCCACGCCGGACCAGCTGCCACAGCCGGTAATCCGTACCCCTCCCCAGCCCCGCCGGTGGTGGCCGTACCGCGACATATCGGTACCCGGGTACCGCAGCCCCCAGTCCGTACCCCCGCACAGCACACAGACCCCACACCGCGCAGCCGACCGGCCGAGACACACTGGCGGCCACGGTCTGGCGACCCGGGCCGGCCGGGCGCGGTCGAGCGGGTGTCAGCGCCTCAGGCGGCTACTCAGCTAGCGGCGCTGCTCCCGTGACCTCGGTTAGGTCAAACCCCAGCCGACCCGCGTCACCGGGTGGTGGGCTGTATGAGCACCATAGAATCTATGTAAACGTAAATGTACGCAGTTTTGTTTGACCGTCTGAACTTGCGAGTTTCGGAAACTTCAGTCGCAAATGAATAGATAGGGGGTGCGTTGTTTTGACGTTACGAAGTTCGTGCGGTATTATCACGATTGCATCAAAACGTCCATCCCAAAGAGGCAAACAGCGGCGTCATTACGCCGTCGTTTTATTAGTTACCAAATGTTGTGTCAAAATGGTTAGGTACCTACCTAAGGATGTGGGGAAAAGTTGATATTGTATTTCCATATGTGATCTGACGTTTTCTGACGTTCTTGGTATCAAACGACATACGCAATGGTGCCAAAATCATCATGGATACCTAAAAACTGTTTACAAGGTCAGAGGCGGGGCGGTACTTTGTGTGTTTGTTTGCTTGTTTGTTTGTTTGTTTTCTCGGGAGTAAGCTTTCTCGGCCTTATAAGGCCGATACTTATCATTTATACATAAGTGACTATTGCAAATCTTTGGGATACTAGGATAGGGCGTAGACATTTGAGTGTGTGGGACACCGACGTTCGACAGTCATTCGAAGAGGCGAGACCGTCCCGGTGGGAGCAGACTGCCCGGGACAGTCCGCCCGCCTCCCAAACCGTCAGCCGATGATTTTTAACGGATCTGCTTAGTGACTGGTGAATTTTGTTTTTGTTTTTGTTTTGTTGGGGTAGGCCCTTTCGGTCCAATGAGACCATTTCAGAGCCGGGAGGATGCTAGGATATAGGGGGAGACATTGGTCTGGGCAGGCACCCTAGTGAGTCGCCGGGGCTGAGCCCGTCCAGAGGACAGGCCACCCAGCCCCAAGGCACTCACTGCACCCGGCTACGGGGTGCGCTCCCTCGGGAGCAGCGGTGCCGCTCCAAGGGAGCAGCCCGCATGAGATAAAGTGCCTGTCCAGCCCGAAGGGAGGTTACGGAGTGGAGGAGAAGGATTTCAGTATCCTGAGGATAGAAGCACGGATCGGTGACTGGTGAAGGCAGACCGTCGACCGACAGGCGACATCATCCACCCCGGGTTGCCGGACGCCGCACACTGGGCCGGGGGCCCGGAAAAGTGCTAGAAATTATTTGTGATTGAGTTGTTGATCTCAGCGACAAGCAAACATGCTAAAAACGAAGTGGGGCTGCTTAACCCTCGCCGGACCTGTTGTCGGACCCCCCACCCCCTCGGCCGGCCGAGGGGGGAGGGTTGGTACGACCCCTTTTCGCCGTTTCGCCCCTAATGGAGCTAGAGCCTCGCGGAAAAAACAAGCGTGTGCGCCGTTTCAAGACGGAACGATTGATACCCGATTTCAAGGTCCCATGTCAACCGGTAACCTCTGAGGTGAGGTCAAAAAGCCCAAGGTAGGGTTTGGTTTTTGGTAAATAATTGCGCATAAAATGGTCGCAGAGCAGCGATTTTGGCACCATCGTGTTTGCCTGGCTCAGGCGCGTCGAATGGTATACTTTTTGTTCGGGTGAGGTCAACTTAAGGTGTTGACCTCAGGTCAAGGTCAGGTCAGCATCCCCAGGTCACGAAGTTGGTCGAAAGAGGTCATGTCGCATATCATTCGATTCGGGAGGTCTTCCCGAGTCCATTGGTGGCTTTCCCGAGTCGCTGGCTCAATTTGATCATGAGTTATTGACAAGAAACTCCTATGACCGTAGTGACGTCATAAATGACGTCACGGAAGGTCAAAAATGCAAAAGTAAAGCATCGGATCTTGCAAGGAGTGCATGAAATCACGATTCCGTGTGCTTGAGATAGTTTGAGATCATTCCATGCGCAAAAACAACAGTTTCCTTATCTCCCCATTTACTTTTAATGGTGATGTCACGTGACCTCGAAGAGTAGCAGGCATTAGCAAAAATTGCGAGTAGGGCATGACAGAAAGATGATTAGTGGTTTGTATGGCACGGTCATTTTTAGCGGCTCGAAATAACATTTCTCAAAAAGTCTAACTTAAGAGCAAGTTGTTGTTGATTATCACTTACTTGTGTTTGGGGGTTAATAATGACTGAATTTTTTAGTTTGGCCCAAAAATTTTGACAGCATTGTGTGCGTTAATCAATTCTGAGCTCAGGGACATATATTTTATTCAGATTATAAGCCTTAGTTTTTCACAACTTCCAGCGCTATAAAAAGCGCCGGGCATTCAGTAGAGCGGCGAGGTGACAATTGCCCCTACATCATGTGGTTTACTGGCGCATATCTCGAAAAGTAGCAGGGAAAAGCAGCAAAGTACCTATATGGAACGAAAGATGAGTAATCAGCGGCTAGTATAATATGTTTATTTTTAGCTGCTCGAAATAACGTTTTTTTAAAGTCTATTTAAAAATTTAGATATGATTTTTATTTAGGTCTTGCAGCTGCTTGCAAAAAGCTAGCTTATGTTGCAGAAAAGCGATGCAATATGTAAGAATGTTGTTGGTACAGTGAACAACAGTGCCCTGAACTAGTCTGACAGAAAATTGCGTTCAAAATGACAACTGGTCAAATAATAAATATCAACTAAAGATTAGCATTAAAATCGGCAAATGTGGTGGCCACTAGCGAGTCTAAATAGTCTTGTGTTTGGTGACAACTGACCACCTCAATTTCGACCTTAGGGCAAAAATGGCATCGGAATCGTATTCTTCGATCAATTTGGGATTAAATGATACCTATTTTGTTCATATTGCGGACAGTCAGTTTGGGGGAATTTGTGTGTTATCCATGACAGATATATATAAAAAACGACAATATATTCAAATACACAATTAAAAACAGAGCTTTCGGTAACAAATACCTTGATCACTGTGTGTGATACCTTGATCACACAGTGATCAAGGTATTTGTTACCGAAAGCTCTGTTTTTAATTGTGTATTTGAATATATTGTCGTTTTTTATATATTGGGGGAATTTCTAGCGCTTTTTCGGGCTGCCGGCCTACAGTGCGCCGGCCGTAATCAACGAAGCATGTAATCTTGGCATCGTCAGGTGGTCGTGGTGTGACCGCCATCCCGGAAAGGGAGCGTGAGGGGGATGCGGATAGGTTTGTCCTGAGGATGGCGAGGACAGACGAGCCACTCCGTAAATGTCCGTTTGTTTATTTCAATACTTCGCGGTCATCACGGTGACTTTCTTCTTTCCTTCTCTCTGATTTTTTTTTTACGGGCAGGAATTTTCTCTCGTACCCCTAAGAAAATGCTACTATTTTTTGCATACATGGCGCAGCAATGCTTTTTCTGACGCAACAAAAAATGTTCATTTGCTGTTCGTATTGGTCGCGTAGCAAAGATACTAGACGTTGATTTGTTATTTTACTGTCAATGATGCACGTGGACACGCAAATTTAATTTTGTGAACATAATACTTATTCCGCACACATTTGACTCGCAAGCAAGTTTGAGTTTTGCTTGGTTTTGCGCTCTTGGTTTTGCTGAGGGTCGAGGCACTATTGTTAAATAAACATTTCTCATCTCGTTTTGTGTTTGATACGGCTGAGCAATTTTAAATGGATTTTGCTGATGGTATTCCAGATATTTTCATTCCAGGTATGTCGTCGGATGTTATCACCTTGACGGAGAAATGTGTTCTCTGACGTGCAGTGGCATTGGATTTGATCTTTACAATGCATCTTAGCAAAGTCCTAGGCCAATATGAGCTGATGTAGGTACCAATTTCACATCAATTTTAGCTAACACTCCTAGCTCTTTCTGTGTTTTTGTTGTTCACCTATGACCAATGCATGCACTTTCAAGGTAGTTGATTGAGGTAATGACGTAGATGCATTTATTGATTTTGTCATTTATGCATGCTGCAGTGAAGCAATTTGCAATTTGAAGCGGAGCCTAATATTTAATTTAATTAAACATAAAATAACATTGTAGGTACCAAAAGTTGATGTGGATCACGTGTATAGATCGGTCGTGAATGAGCCAATAAAACAACGTCACTGATGTTTTACTTTTAATCATCTAAGTATATTGATTTGTGGAGCATCTGGGCAAGGGCTACATTTAAAGAAGGTAATAAAGTATTGAAAACAAGAAACTGCTACTTAATTATAATTTGTATTTATTGCTACACTATTCTTTACAGGTCTATCTGAAGATGTGCTACTTTGCTGTGACATGTGTGGTGAAAAACATTTTGCCAAGGAATGCAAGTTTCTCATTGATGCTCCAAGGGTGAGAGAGTCTACAGCATGTTTTTTTCAGGCTGCCCGTATGCATTATCAGAATTCCTTTTAAATCTTTATTTACCAGTTTCCTGTGATAAAGCATAGGCATGCTATTATATTGAAAATACTGAGTTTAAATTAATTATCCTGCAGCTGAGAATGATAATTATCCTGTGATGATGATCCCTTGTGCTGGAAGTCCACTTGATATGATAGGAATTAGCAGGCACTATTTCAGTCCAACTCCTCATACCTATATGACTCGTATATCAGAGAGAGGACACTTTGTTCAGTCATAGGTATTAGCCTGATATGGGCTTAACACATGTATCAATCACATTGGACATTTCAGGCGACCCATCATTGCCTTCTTTTGACAGATTGTTGACGGCCTGACGAGCCGCGCTCGCGTCACACTGCCCTCAGTGCTGGCGTTACGCCACCACCTGGACTCCAGCGTAACGGTTGTGAGCACCGCCGAGCTGGGGGTCGGCACTCTGTTCGGCCCGATGGTGGCGCCGCGTACCGACCACATCACCAACCATCAGTTCCCAATCAAGGTGACAGGTGGCGGCTGGCTGGTCGCCGACCGCTGATCGTAGGTAGTTGGTTTTTCACTGCCACTGGCCCCAGGTCAGTGGAGATCGGCTGACTTTGAAGTCAGTTTTTTGTTTATTATCAGACGTAATCAAGGTACAATTTCGCTCTGTCCGCGCTTTTTCTT